ATGAATAAATAATAACTGATAATAAAGAAACAGATAAAAGATTATTCCTTTCAATTATTCATCCTACAAAATGTTATCTCTGACGGGCTTGCACTGATATCAGCACGTAATGTATTGGGGGAGGAATGTGATACAGGTATTATTAGTTTTCCTGGGGAGACTAATATTTTTAACAAAATTTTATTATTCATGCAATATTTTTAGTATTTTAGTGCATATTTATGCTTTGATTTTTAATATAATATTTAGTGTTATTTATTTTTCATCTACGAGACATTTGTTGATAGATTTTAAGCATAAACCAACAAGAAACTCGCTGCTAATGACCTTAGCTGTTTTGCGCACACCTTTCGTTGATGCAGCGAATCTAATTGCTCCAAAGTAGCTTCATGTCATTCTTTTCTGTTTGCATTAGGATAACTCCCTGCCTTATGGTGCATAAAGAGTTGCCGTTCTTTTGATAAGGACTGGTATGGCAGACCGTCTCATGACTGCCACTCTAGGTTATAATTTCTGATGGAAAACGAATTCGGCAGGTCGGAAGCCCATCCTTTACCACGTCCAGTCACATCAGCCACCTGTCTATATTTGTATAAACTATTTCTATATAATCTTTTGGTATTGCTTTGGGTTTTAAGGCTAATGCTTGTCTGTCTCCACATTTTGGTTCCGATAGAAAACGTGTTTTACTTGAAGATCTCTCACCCTCTAAATGATTTTTTATTTTTCAGTCCTGTGTTCATCTGTGGTTTTTACCTCTTCCATTTTTTTCTGTAGTATTTCTCTGTCATCTTTGGTTATATCTATTATATGGATAAAAGAAAAATCATAAGCAGCCAGGACTTTAACTTTCTGTACCATTTGCTTACTATTGAATGCTACATTTAAAGGGTCTCTCTTTCCCTTTTCGAATAATCCCATCTTTAACAATATTCTTACTATGATATGTATTTCACATTAATTTTCATTAAATATTCTTTGTCATGTCGCAATCCCTCATGATTTATATATGCTTTTATAAAAAATGAAAACATAAGTATTGCTCTTTGTGTTTCATTATATATTTTCATTAAAAATATTTTGGAATGCAGTAGTCCTGATCAGTTTCCCTTATGTAAGACAACCCGAAAAGGTCTGATCTGCTCTTTATCAGTAAACATTATTGACTAACATCAATAGCTCATCAGTAGCTATTAAGAATGGCTAACATCAATGATATTAGTTAGTAACTTTTATCAGAGAGAGAGAGGGAGAGAGAGAGAGAGAGAGAGAGAGAGAGAGAGAGAGAGAGAGAGAGAGAGAGAGAGATGAGAGAGAGAGAGAGAGAGAGAAGAGAGAGAGAGAGAGAGAGAGAGAGAGAGAGAGAGATGAGAGAGAGAGAGAGGGAGAGAGAGAGAGAGAAAGAGAGAGAGAGAGAGATGAGAGAGAGAGAGATGAGAGAGAAAGAGAAAGATATGAGAGAGAAAGAGAGATATGAGAGAGAGAGAGAGATATGAGAGAGAGAGAGATATGAGAGAGAGAGAGAGAGAGAGAGAGAGATGAGAGAGAGAGAGAGAGAGAGAGAGAGAGAGAGAGAGATATGAGGGAGAGAGAGAGAGAGAGAGAGAGAGAGAGAGAGAGAGAGAGAGATATGAGAGAGAGAGATATGAGAGAGAGAGAGAGAGAGAGAGAGAGAGAGAGAGAGAGAGAGATGAGAGAGAGAGAGAGGGAGAGAGAGATAGAGAGAGAGAGAGAGAGAGAGAGAGAGAGAGAGATGAGAGAGAGAGAGAGAGATGAGAGAGAGAGAGATGAGAGAGATGTGAGAGAGATGTGAGAGAGAGAGATGTGAGAGAGATGTGAGAGAGAGAGAGAGAGAGAGAGAGAGAGAGAGAGAGAGAGAGAGAGAGAGAGAGAGAGAGAGAGAGAGAGTATAGTATATCAAATCAGTATTATATGCCTGCGTGGCCCCCACGTGGAGGCTTGAAGTGGCCACGTGTTGTCCATATGGCTACCCAATGCGGCGTGCCCCCCCAAACAAGCGTCTCGGATACTTAAGGGCCGCGTTTCGACCGGTCAGGGAGAGTTTGCCCAGACGCGTCGACCGGGGCTGGTCTCGCCAGTGACCCCGGGCGACCCTCCAGCCGACCGCCCAATACCCAGGGTCATCGTTGTGTTTATTCTCTGTGTGCTAGCTCTATCAATAAAAGAGTTTTTAGCCACTAAGCTTTTACTATCCCTGTCATCAATGTTTAAGAGGTGTTTATATAACTCTTACAGAGAGAGATGTGAGAGAGAGAGAGAGATATGAGGGAGAGAGAGGGGAAGAGAGGGAGAGAGAGAGAGAGAGAGAGAGAGAGAGAGAGAGGAGAGAGAGAGAGAGAGAGAGAGAGAGAGAGAGAGAGAGAGAGAGAGAGAGAGAGAGAGAGAGAGAGAGAGAGAGAGAGGAAGAGAGAGAGAGAGAGAAAGAGAGAGGAAGAGAGAGAGAGAGAGAGAGAGAGAGAGAGAGAGAGAGAGAGAGAGGAAGAGAGAGAGAGAGAGAGAGAGAGAGAGAGAGAGAGAGAGAGAGAGAGAGAGAGAGAGAGAGAGAGAGAAAGAGAGAGAGAGAGGAAGAGAGAAAGAGAGAGAGAGAGAGAGAGAGAGGAAGAGAGAAAGAGAGAGGAAGAGAGAAAGAGAGAGGAAGAGAGAAAGAGAGAGGAAGAGATAGAGAGAGAGAGAGAGAGAGAGAGAGAGAG